CTTCAGCCTTCATTTCAATGACAGTGGTAGGAGGGGATGGACTTCTTTTAGCTGCAGAGATCTTGGACATCATTTCATCGATTTTGATAGTTTTTTTGCTAATAGCCATTGTGTATTTTTACCTTATGGTGTACCTTACAGTTCGAAAACGCGAATTAAGTCAAATTCAGCAAGTAAGTGTGTTGGTGAAAGCGAAACTGGAAAACAGAGTTGCTATGACGATGGCTTTGGTAACTGTTGCCCTGGTTATTTCCTTTATTCCAATGACGGTTGTCTTTATTTTGGGAGACTATTTCCAAGTCTTTCGTGGGTTTTTGGCATGGTGGGTAGTCGAGACACTGGTGTACTTAAATTCAGTAGCTAGTCCGTTAATTTATTGCTATAGAGACCGTCTTTTTAGGATCGCAGTGCTCGAGATTTTGAGGATCAGAAAACCAAAGGCAAAGCAGGTCCCCGTATGCAATGCAGTGCCATTCGTCCGACGAAAAGATTCATTTGGTTCAGTGAAAGATGTTGTGCAGATCCGAAACGTCGAAAACCCTGTCATTTTAACAAGACCAGCATCTTGTGATTTAGCCATGTTGTCCTTAGAGCGAGGTCACCTACCGCCTTGTTTTCACAAAACGCGATTGAAAAGAAGCGCGTCAGCTCCGTCTCTTAAAAAGGATAGTTTCTGCTATGACTAATTTATATACTCGTAGCGACATTTCGGACATTTTGATGACTTAACTACACTGAGTGAGATACAGAACTAATCACGGAAAGGAACGGTGAGAAATATGTAACACGATCGTGTTGAAAGTTCCTTCAACAGGCAAACAAAGTGTATAATCGGAAACCTGAAAAATGTCGATTGCTAATAATAATCATAAATAATAATAGTAATGATCGAATCTTTATCCAGGATAACCCTTCAGTTTCAAGTACTGTAATCAACGGGGTCCCGCTGACTAAAAAAAGTTAAAATCTAATAAATAAGAATAAACAAAAATGTATAAAAAGAAAAAAAAATACAATAAAAAGTTACAAGCAATCATTTGAGACGGAGAACTCATGGAAAGCGGGGCTGCAAGGATCAGCAATTTCGATGTCGTACTGTGTGGTGAAAGAATGAAAGATGGTAAATTTTAAGCTCGGTGAAACAAAATTATGTGAAAATTGAATTAATCAGCATGTCACGGGCGTGGGACAAGGTAAAAAAATAAATAAAGAACGAAAAAAAGTTATCGAAATCAACACCCCGAAATGTAGTCTGAAGAACTGCAATCTTCGATTTTTAACAATTGACAACTTTTTGCAAAAGAAAACGTGCCGTTTTGTTTTTGACTGCCTCAATGGAGCTACATGTTTCCCATTTAGGAATTATTTTCAACGTTTTCACCATAATTCTTTAAACTCTATAGAAACAATGGAAAAGCAGCAAAACTACCCAAGTATTTAAAAGGTAGATATAGGCATATTTTTATCTCCTAAAAATTTTTCATCTGTTCGGATTACCTAGCTGAAAGTCTAGCGATCCGAAAGTTAAAGAGATCAAAACTTACCCTTTCGAAAATTTCAGCCAGAAAAAAGGCTCCCGAAAATTTTAGGTGACCTTTTTAGGGTAAAAATCCGTCAGACAACGGGCAATTATACCAATTTTTAGATGTTCGAAAATCCTAGGGGAGGCAGGCAAGCAAGAAATTTTACAGCAAATGTTCCGAAAACTCTAGATCTCAAATCGTCGTTCCCAAACAGATATTCTCCGAAAATTGACGTTGGGTGCCCCTGACAAAAAACTTTTTCACCGGTTTTATCGATAAATTCAAGTCCAAAAGACAAAGCTTTACCTGTCAAAACTTCCACCCCGAACTTCGTCACCTTCTTCGTGCATTTCGGGAACAGCTTGCTTAATTAGTTGTGAAATTTCTTTGTTTGTTACGGCAGCAAGCCGGGAAGCAGGGGAAGGCATTTTGCTCGAAACTTACACGAGTTTGGCGTCTCTCGCTCGGAGGAACTGGAGGTGAATCAGTGAATAGTGCAGGATATTCACTGATTGAGTAGCCAATCAGAGCGCGCGAAAAACACTATCCACTGTTTTATTATATAAAAGAATAGCGTTGATTTGCTTTATTGAAATAACCAGCATTCTGGCCCATCCAAAAACGCTGCTTAATCAGGTGGTAAAACCCTATTCAACTTAATGTTGTTAAAGGAAGGGGCTTGTACAGCCCCCGAAATTATCCCGACCCCGAAATTATCCCCAACCCTGAAATGATCCCCAAATCGACCTCGTAATGGTCCCCATTTATCTTCACGTCGACCCCGAAATGATCCCCAATTAATTCTTGGAATGGAATGGTATTCCTTCATGGAATTATTACGAGTCTGTTGAAGCGTTTACGTTCTTGAATCGCATTTACCTTATTATAGGAAATTAACGCTCCATGAAATTAAGGTATTGGAAATTAACGCGACTTAAATTAACGCGAATTTAATGGAAAACGACCTTCGAATAAAGAAAATTAACGCTAAAGAGGAGGTAGAATTTCATCATAAAGGAAATTAACGCGATTTACTAGTAAGACTCAGTTGGTGGTGACAACTGGAACAACGACAATTGACGACATCACTTCTGACAGGGACAACGATGAAGATGAACTCGAATTGTAAACCTTGGCCTTAGCGTTTGTGAAAGATGAAAAATAAAGGGTAAATGGAAAGAAAGAAAGCTTGTAGTTAATGTTTCTTAGGTGTCAAGAATGTCTGGACAGGTTCCAGAATTAGGTTTTTAAAAAATACTGGAAATTATGAGCGCGGACATTAACGTTGCACTTAATTAACGTCGCGGAAATTAACGCTCAACAAAATTAACGCGAATTTTATCGATTCGCGTTAATTTCATGGAGTGTTAATTTCCTATAATAAGGTAACATTTCACTACAGTTTATGTGATTTTTTAGCGCTTTTGTCATCTAATCACCTTTATGTCTACTTTTGCATCTTCAACATCATTTTAAAATTTTAAAAAGTGTTAAAACACCCTTCTTAAAATTCAGTATTAAGGCATGCAGTTAATTTGTAACATCATTTTCAGAATTTAACATCTATGAAGTTTTCTCTATAACCCGGGCTATAATCACCTAAGTAATAATAATAGAAAAATGTTGTTTCTTGATGTTATCGGTTGCAGTTCATGGTGTTGCCAAAAATATACTAGATTTTGTGTAAAGTAATCCAGTTTCAAGTGTAATCTCAAATTAATGTCAGTAAAGGATGTAGGCAAGTGAAGATTATTAGTGAAACGTAAGTTATGATGTTGTGCATTTTGCACGATCCATAATTCTAGGATATCATTCTATTCCTAAAATTAATTGGGGATCATTGCGGGGTCGATTTGGGGATCATTTCAGGGTTGGGGATCATTTCAGGGTCGCGATCATTTTGAGGGGCTGTACAGGCTTCTAATTTCTTACTGTGAAATTTGAAAAATGAAATTCTTAAGCTCGCTCATGCTTAAGAATTTCCCCAGCCATTTGAGTTGAAAGCTCTCTTGAACGCCTTGTCACAAATGGTCTCAATTATTTCAATGAACCTGAATTGAACAAGACTGAACTTCCCGCTACAAAAGGGTTTTATACCATTGTGCACTGCAGGCCATGAAACATGGTTCACGGGAGCAACGTAATTGAAATAGCTATATATTTTGTTTTTTCTTTAGTACTTCTTAGCCATTCATTTCCACTGTACTTTCGTTTTTCAACAGTCATATAAATCGCTTGATTCCACAAACAAAAAGCAATAATCAGAATCGGGAGCAAAGCTGAGCAAATCAATTAAAGTTACAAGAAATTCTCAGCCTTTCTTTGATCCTTTACTGAGTTGTTCCCAGGCTATGGGACAGTTTCTAAAGGGGAAAAAAGAGACACATTTTAAGAGTTCAGAATCGTTAATTACCCCCTAAAGACCAAAATCAGTTAAAAAAAATTCCTGTCACATACGCTTTAAAAAGCTCGGTATAGTTTTCCTGTACTATACACTTTGAGTACTTGTGAGAAAATTTTCCGTGTCGCAACTTGCTTTAGTTTTCATGTAAATACTTGCTGTTTTCAAAAGCAAATTTTAGACAATGTCTTTTTCACATCCGTTTGAACTTAGCATAAAGTTGGGTGAGCTACTCAGGCTTCATAACTCCGCGAGTCTCAGAAACTAGAACCAAGCGAGGTTTCATAAATAACAGTCCGCTATGTCAAACATGAACCGGTCAGTGTTTGATTGCTTGCATTCTCAAGGTTTAATGTGGGACGTACATGACACTACTTCTCCTTGGATTTTTACTGCTGTTTACTCTGTTCTCTCTCCCACTGCATTTCTTTTGAACCTATCAGTAATTATAACAATTACGAAGAAGAGAGAACTACAGAGACCTTCCAAAATCTTGTTAAGAAGTATGGCTGTTTCGGACCTTCTAGTAGGTGGTATTAGTATGCCTCTATCTGCTATAATTGGACTGTTACTTCCCCATCGAATACTGACTGAGCGGCAATTTTGCACGTTTGACTTGGTAATTTTTTTGTTTTCATATATTCTGTATTTTTGCTCGTTTTTGCATTTGACAATGATCGCATGGGAGAGATACATGGCCATTCGGAAATGCATGGAGTACAAAATGACGGTGACCAAAGGCCGCTTGAAAATCTTGGCGATGATAGCTTGGGTATTATCCATAGGAGGCGTATCTTCAGTCTTCATTTCAATGACGGTGGTAGGAGGGGATGGGCTTCTTTTAGCTGCAGAGATCTTGGACATCATTTCATCTATTTTGATACTTTGTTTGCTAATAGCCATCGTGTATTTTTACGTCATGGTGTACCTTTCAGTTCGAAAACGTAAATTAAGTCAAATTCAGCAAGTCAGTGTGTTGGTGAAAGTGAAACTGGACAACAGAGTTGCTATGACGATGGCTTTGGTAACTGTTGCCCTGGTTATTTCCTTTATTCCAATGACAGTTGTCTTTATTTTGGGAGACTATTTCCAAGTCTTTCGTGGACTTTTAGCATGGCGGGTAGTCGAGACACTGGTGTACTTAAATTCAATAGCCAGTCCGTTAATTTACTGCTATAGAGACCGTCTTTTTAGGATCGCAGTGCTCGAGATTTTGAGGATCAGAAAACCAAAGGCAAAGCGGTTTCCCGTGGGTAATGCTGCAGTGCGATTCGTCCGACGACAAGGTTCGTCTGGTTCAGTGAAAGATGTCATGCAGATCCGAAAAGTCGAGAACTCTGTCATTTTAACAAGACCAGCATCTTGTGATTTAGCCACTGAGTTATCCTCAGGGCAAGGTCACCTACAGCTTTGTTCTCACAAAACACGATTGAAAAGAAGTGCGTCAGCTCCGTCTCTTAAAAAGGGTAGTTTCTGCTATGACTAATGTATATACTTGTAGCGACATTTCGGATGACTTAACTACACAGTGAGATACGGCAGAACTAATCACGGAAAGGAACGGTGAGAAACATGTAACACAATCATGTGTAAAATGGGAAACGTGGAAATAGTCGATTGCAGACTGAGGTCGTCTTATGGAGTTCTGATGTACAGTTATACAAACATGCATAATGCATTACAGGGGCGGATCCAGGATTTTTTTTAGGAGGGGGTGCACTCGTCTCTTGCTCTACTTCAACAACAATAAACCACATAGTTTTTTTCAACTGGCAGAATGCCAGTTGTATTAGAGAACCCCAGGTCATCTCAGGGGGGGTGCGCACCCCCTGCATCCTCCCCCTAGATCCGCCCCTGCATTATGATCAAAAAATGTCTTTTTAAGGGCTCTGTTGATATGGAGCAAGTTGTCGCGGGTAGAAAGGTCACCTGCCTACCCGAGCTATCCTAGGCGAACCAACTTTTCATATATTTTCTTACAAAACGTGGGGAGCTGTTTACGTGTGAAGAAAAAAGTTGGCTCGGCAAGAAAGGGCGACTTGTCTAGCCGCGTCATCATTTTGTGACGGTAGGGTTACCGTGCCAAATCTTCCGCCAAGCAGGCGTCATAATGTTGATGATGATGATGATGATGATATTAATAATTATAATTGACACCGTCACAATGAGAATAAATAAGAAAAGGATGGAACAGCGCGTGAAATAACGTTTTCGAGATAATACATCGAATGCTTGAAATAATGACACAAATTTTTCATTTCCCCAAAATTAAAAAAAAACATGTTGCTCCTAACAATTTAAGATTAACTTTAACTTTTTAGATCATGGCTGGAGAAGCAATTAGGTGAAGCTTAATTTACCATACCAAAATTACTCTCCAATTTTACAACGTTGTAATCTCCCTTTTCTTGTCGTTGTTTGGAGAAAACCCTTGAAAGGAAGTTAGCAATTCTGATTTTACCACTTTAAGTTTTCCTCGCGGGTTTTGCGGGGAATGTGGGGACTTTCCTGGTGTGAAAATCACGTTTTTTTTTTTGCACTGAACCCGAGTAAAAAGATGTGTTTACAGGTAATCAGTCTAGCCGTGGAAAATGACAGCTGGTTGCACTATAATAGAAACTTCAGACAGAGAAAAAAGCACTTATTATAAACTGATGTTAAAATGGTTGTGATAAAACTGGAAGAAAAAATTGTAATTAAGGCAATGTACAGCGGCAAGTCCAGTCGCTCTTTTTTTTATTAATACAGTAGAATTAGAAAATGTGTATTTAAAAAAACTGCTGTTAAAACGGGTGACTTTTTACAATAGAGCATTGCTGGAAGTTGACATTTGCCATTTCCTTAAAAGTGATTCTAGACTGTCTTCAATGAAGCTATCAGAATAAAAGGAAAAAGGATGAAAGGAACTGCATCATGAAGAACTAGTCCGAAAAGAATAAGTTCCAGGTAATTAATAAAAGATGAGGCTTTTTAGCATTGAAGGTGTACACTTCGATACACTTTACCCAACTCCAAAAAGGATAATTGAAGGGAGTTGACATGCTTAAAATTTAAACCCGGCCAATCAAAACAGGCGCAGATCGATCCACACTGGTTTCCACCGTTTTACGAAAATCGGCGACTTTTCATATCAAATATATTTTTAATAACATATAAAAAGCTTTGCAAGTTGCAACCTGACTAATATCCTATCTGAATGACTCAGAAACCTAGAAGCTTGCGCCTTCGCTGCTGGTTGAGAATATAGGTCAGAATTTAACCGAGATCCGTACCCGCTATACAAATAAACTAGGAGTTTCAATTTACTGGTAATTTAGTGCTGCACGTGCTTCTGATCTTGCATTCGACGTCCGCCATTGTTTAGACTGCGAACTTCACTCGATGTTCGTGTCGGAATTTATTCCCCATCTGCTGATAATCCAATGCTTGGAGTTTTTTGGCAATGGGATGATGTGGTGGCAGAAACATCTCCGCTTGTTTTGCAGGGAAAGGAACAGTTTTCAGCGCTAATAATTCTTGAAGTGTTTCCATCTTGGCGTAACGTAAGAGCACCAACGCGTGTATTCAATGAAAGACTGAATGCTAACTGCCTATGAAACGTGCTCTCTTGCACCTAATTGCAATAAGGTTGTCATAGAAAAAAGCAAAAAGCAAAAAGTAAAAAGTTGAATAGGAACTAATTAGCATGTAATTATCATAGCTTGCAACATTCACAACACACACGCTTACAGCTGAATATTAATCACGTAATATGAGAGAAATCATTTGCATCAGTTTCTTACTGTCATTCTCATGCAATTCAAGGCTGAAACATCTAGCGAATTTCAAACGTGCTCGAATTACAAAGCACATCGGATAACTACCAACGAAATAATGGCTTCATTTTTTTTTTCAATAAATATAGCCTGTGGTACAGGAACTCAACGCGTGTTTTAGATTAGTGCTAAATAGAAAAGCCAGTCTGCGTATGGTTTGCAGTGCACAACACCATCTGATCACAATTTTCAAGCAACAAATCAGGGGCGTAGGCAGGACTTTTCATTGTGGAGAGGGTGAGGGGGTCCTCCGCCAGTTCCTCACCTGAGCCACAAACCAAGATTCGTTTGTCAGGACATAATAGATTGCAACTGAACGTGCGACGACCGAGACATAACATTGCTCGCGTCAATTTACCTTTTTCTTTCTCGAATTGTGCGACTTCTTTTGATGGAGAATGTTGGCTCTAAAATGACTATGGCGCCTGTCTATCTTACAGCGCGGAATTACAGAATCATCTCTTGCTATTGTGAATGAATTCTTAAATAATTGTTAAATGCTGAAGTAAAATACGCAAATGTAAATCACATGGCTAATTTATCCCTATTTGGCTTTTTTGCTTTTTTTTTTCTATGACAACGTTATTGCAATTAGGTGTATGCCTAGCCTATACAATAGGTGTACGGAAAGGCGTGGCGCGGGATGAAAGACTGAATGTTGCGCAAATTAACATAGGACGAGTTCCGAGCGGTGGATCAAACAATTTCAACTTGCGCGAATTTACATACGATTGTTTAAAAGTTCTCAACGGTTTCATTCACTTTATCGCAAACATGGCTAAAGAAGCAATTCTTGAAACCAGCACTGATTTCTACGCTGTTCCCGCCGAAACGGAGTCCGCGATCCTGACCTTATGGAGTGCCAATCACATTAACAAATACCACCACTGTGAAATGGATACACATTCCAAGTCCCAGTTTACCCGGGATTTTAATTTAACCAAAGTGTTTTTTACGAAATCGTTAAAGAAGGATTCAACTATCGTCATGGTGAGTTTTATCTTTACAAGTTTTAATGTCGATCGGATCATCGGATACTTTTTTTCGTGCCTCTCCCATCTCGCGCCATCAGTCTCGCGCGTGGCCATTTGCGTGTCTCGCGTTTTGCTCTACGGACTACAGGAAAAAGAGAGACTTAGCCTGCGTAGCAGGCGCTTGGAAGTAGTGGGCACAAGAAAAAACCGGCACCCGTTCTCTCTTTCACCCACTACTTCCAAGCGCCCGCTACGCAGGCTAAGAGAGACTGCTCGTAGTCTAGCCATTGTTAAGTTCTGGTGTGCTGGCTCGCAAGGTTCGCCTTTCAGTGCTCATAGCTTAGTGACCTGGCCAGTAAAATCCAATATGTCGGCAAGCTTCAAAACAGAGAGCAAATTATGAACGCTGCTAAAAACGTTATACGAGATGCTGCTACTTTGATTATAGTAGCTCGAAACAGTAAACCTAACAGTCACTTCGACTACAGGATTTTGTTACTTAAAAGAGCTGACAAGAGTGCTTTTATGGTAGGTAAATGACGTTGTATATCAGTTTAGTCGACAGCTTTGAAAATTTCCTGATTTAGTAGCTTTATTTACTGCTGTTTCGTGTTTTAACTTTCAAAATCAGCCTAGCATGTATGTATTCCCTGGTGGTTTGATTGAGAAACATGCTGACTTTTCAAATGACTGGATGGAACTGTTTAAGCAATCATTTGCCAAGTTTGGTACAGACTTCACTACTCTTGTTAATATACAAGGACCTCGCCCTCCTGTGCTAAAGAAGTCAACCACAGACATTCCAAGTGAAGTTGCCCTTAGAATATGTGCAATCAGAGAGACATTCGAAGAGTCTGGCGTCTTGTTACTGAAAAGCTTTTCTGATGTGCACCAGGGTGAAATAAGCATGGACATTATTCAAAACTGGAAGAAAAGAGTTCACCAAGATCCCAACGAATTTTTAGTTTTGTGCAGGTATGCATGAATTTTAACGGTAAGTTTATAACATTTATCAAAACATATCCACCGTGGTAGTAAGATTTCCATACAGCCATACTGTTTTCTGGGGCAAAAAAAATGGTCCATAATTTCCAGGAATAGTCCTCCCCAGGGGGAGTACTCCGGATTTCAAGTGACGGGGATGATTGAAGGGCTTTGGGGTTTGAAATTTTGGATTTCTCGATTTTTTTGGGTAGCTTGATTTAAGTAGGGATTTCTTGGGGTATTTAAAACTAATGTTTGTATTTTTTGTGTTATATCATTTTAATGCTCTCTGGAAATTTTTGTGGCTGGGAAATTCAGTATGGGATTTTTTGGGGTTGAATTTTGGTCCAGGGATTTTTTTGGGTTTTGATTTTTGCCCCCATTCGATCATCCCCATCACTTGAAATCCGGAATACCCCCCTGGGCAGTCCTCCTCACACCTTTAACAGACTAAACCATGTTACTAAAGATGATCTTGGGGAGCAAGGGGTGGCACAGTGGTGAGAGTGCTTGCCTCCCACCGATGTGACCCAGGTTTAAATCAAGGCATCAACGCCTTTTGTGGGTTGAGTTTGTTTGTTCTCTCCTTTGCTCCAAAAGGTTTTTCCGCGGGTACTCCGCTTTTCCTGTCTCCTCAAAAACCAATATTCCAAATTCCAATTTGACTAGGAATCAGGTAGACCAAGAACCACTTTGTGGATATGCTTCTTCCAAATCATTATTTGTCTATTTTTTATTTGTTTACATTTTATTTGAAAAATAACTCAAATTCACGATTTCTTTTAAATGTGTGTCTCAAACCTGCTCATTTCTCTGTCCAGGTCATTGCGGTGTGTACCTGATGTGTGGTCTCTTGGTGAATGGTCTAACTGGCTGACACCTGTCCACCTACCCAGGCGATATGACACCATGTTTTATACTTGCTTTCTTGATAAAGAACCTCCTGTTCTTGTTGATGAGAAGGAGATGACTCATTCAGAGGTGTGTTCATAAAGGTGATGTTACACGAAACAATTCGCAATGACAATTTTTAGCACCTCACAGCATTGCAATATATTTGCGACATTGTTTCAAATGGTTCCAACATTGTTCCAACATTGCAACGCTGTGTTGCGCTAAAAATTGTCTTTGCAAATCGTCCCATGTGACATCCACCTTAATAGGCCCCTTTGCAGCTAGCCATTCACATACAGTACAAAGGGACTGGGAAAATGTGTTCATTATATTCAGGGTTTGTTGCATTGAAAACCTCAATTAAACAAATTTTTGGGAAAATTTAGCAAAATGTTCATTATATCGGGGTATAGTTAATGATTAATTTCCAACGCCCAGCATTTCCGGCTCTGAACAATTTCTGTAATAAACATTTGTATACGAAGCTATTGTCTCAGTTCACAGCTGTACATGTAAATTTTATCCTCGTTGGTCTGTTTCGCTTTCATCATTAGCTATCTTTTGGTCACATGTTGACATTTATTCATTATATCAAGTTATATTTTATGTTTGTGTTTCTGGATTGTGTTTGTCGTAGGGAGGATTTCATTAAATCGACGTTCGTTATATTGAGGTTCTGTTCCATACATTTTATTGTAGTTTTGGCTGAGCTGAAGAAAATTGTTCATTATACTCAGGACTTCATTATATAGCGAATCATAAGATTAAATCAAGGTTCCACTGTACATGTAGTACAAAATTGCCATGCTGGAGAGTAAGGGCTCACTGAGACAAGACAAACAAACAGCTCACATCCTTTAAAGTGGTAATTTCCTTTGTTTGTCTTTTCCCAATGCATTCCTTGCTCTCCAGTATAGCGGTTTTGCACTAGGTGAATGACTAGCGGCAAAGGGCCTATTCATTCAATTTATGAAGTGCATACCGTCAATGTAACCCCAGATTTTTGTTATTTTGGGATTTTTCAGTCAAATACAGAATAATAATCAAGAAAATGATTTGGGGTGAGGATTTGCTGGATTGCAGTGTTTTCACAGGGTTTTCATGTTTGCCCAAAAATGCTCTTAAATATATGTTGTAGTTAATTTTTTATCTTGGTAATTTCTATGTTTATTTTGTTTCAACTTCATTAGCATATAATACCATACCCAAAAACAAAAGAAAAAGGAAAATTACCTGAAATAAAAATGTTCTACGACATATACACACCTAACATGGTTACAGTGATCCATTTGCAATCTACACTGTAAATACCCACTGGATTTGACCATGTCATCTACACTGTATTTTCATTTTAGTGGGTGACACCAGAAGATGGAGCTTCAAAATTCATTGCAAGAAAAATTAAGATTGGAATGCCTCAGATGTATAATATATTACAGTTTTGCAGGTAATTCAAGCATCTGTTTTAGGGTCTGTGTTGACTTTAGATGTATTTTGATGTCTCTTTCAATAGGGATTTGATAGTACATATACTTTGCTGTCATTATTTGAAATTTTTTTAATTATTAAATTTTGAATTATTGATTCTCATGGCAAAAACAATATTTTACTCACTCGCTGCGCTCGGTTATAAAATATTGTTTTGCCACTCAAAAATAAAATTCATATCTTCGGGCCACCGTGTAATATCCTCTATGTAATTTATATTAATGTGCAAACTTGAATGAACTGGAACACTGTCTTATTCAGTGCAATGTACCCCTCTAACTCTCTGTTGTGAGATCATGATACAATGCAATGCAATGCTGTTTGTGCATATTGATGTTCAGTCATTTACTGTGCAGATTTCCAAAGTGGTCAGAATTTCAGTCATTTCAAGATAGACGTGCATCTCTAGGATGTGAACAATGGCTCACTATTCTCTTGCAATGTGCTGACGGAATGCTGGTGAGTTTGACACCTCTAAGGAGGCATTTCCTTGGGAGAACTGAAGATATGATTCTTAATAATATCATTTCAGATTCTCCTAAGTAATTAGTGTGATAGTCATGTGTGAGGAAATGGCTTGAACGAAGTCAGTATTAAGTTTTGACGGGCAGACCACTTTCAGGGCGTGAGGCTTTTGGATCCATACCCAATTATAAGTGAAGATAAAAGCATGATAATATATCCACTTAGAGTCTGAATTTCTTAGCCAGGAATACAAGATGGTATTGCAGTCATGCAGTAAAAAATGATGCAAAAAAATACACGGGTGCTGGGAAGAGAGAGAGAGAGAGAGTAGTGACTGTCTATTTTTTTCCTGCTTCTGTCCCCTAACCCTTGCCTTAGTTTCACTTGGCATCTTTTATTTTCACAACTTCCCTACTATCTTGTAGTAGAGTATTTATTTTGTTTAATTTATTATTTATTTATGTTATTATTATCTTATTTAAATAAAATACGAGGAGAAAGTCAGTTGTTGTAGAATGGTGAGCGGTACTGTTGAGGTGCACTAAATCACATGGCATCTTTGCCTTGTAGATTATTAAGTTATTTTAATAGTTGTGCTCGAAATCACTTAAACTGGACCAAAAAGAAGTAGCTGGCCAATGTATCTGCGAAATAGCCTGTTCCGGGCTCCAAGACAGTAAGGTGCAGGGCTTGTGAAAACTGATGCGAAAAATGTCGCGTGGAGGCTGGTTGCTTTACTAGATCACGTGCGTCTTATTTTTCCTTTACCTGTCTTCTTAACGCTACTATCTCTTAGCCTGTGCGAAAAAATGTTTTGTTTCTTTCCCTACTCGAAGCTTAATCTAATTGTATCTTTCAGGTCGTATTTCCACAAGACGATCTTTATCCATCACTGTATGACAGAGTATCGAATGATCTCTCTAACAGCGATACAGGACAAGTGTCAATTCTGCAGTCACAAGAGACAGTTGCTGAATATAGAGCCAAAGCAAAAGACTTAAATCGAATTGTTCTTCGTTCTGGTCATCCGATTGAAATACTGATTAATGTTACACTTTCTCATGGACAATGTTCACCAGTGTCTGATCTACTTAGAATTCAAGAACTTGCCAAAGAGTTACAACCGCAATCTACTCTATAAACTCTTTGACTTCTTTGATCATCACAAGTGTAGAGATTTGACCCCAACTCTGGGAATTTGACTTTAGGTAACTTCTCTCTTGATTTTATGGTGCTTTTATATTTTGCTCATTCAGTAACATAGAAAGTTCCTTTGCCGAACTCGAATTTTGAATAGCGAAGAACAACGTAGATTGGCTGGCGAACAAGCAAGGCCTGCCAGCAGATTACCCCTTTTCCTACCCAAAGTCGAAAATATGGGGTGATCGGTTGTCTCGCCAACACGTCGTTTCGTTAACGTCGCGTGCCTCGTTCTTTAAGCCATTGTTTAGGCTAAGGCAGTTAGGGAGCTGAGCTAGCACATTAGGAAGATGACCAAAGACGTTAGCGGGCAGGAGTTTGGCGAAACGACTTGTAGAAGGAACGAAACCATAGATTGCGTAATTAATCCTCAAATGGCCGTGAACATAAAGGATTTGGATGGGAAGTGAGATCATAGATTCAAGAAGATAATTGCTGGAATTTTCAATAAAAAACACTTGACCTCAATTACTTGGTTTGTTCTAACTTGCTGTGTGGTTATTTTCCCGATCCGGAAGCTTCCGGAGATAAGGCCAGGCCACGTGGTAGACTGTCAGGCCCTGCGAGTTGAGCAGAGTTTCCTATCTTGCATGGCTTTTAGCGTTACGAAGTTTTTCGCGTTGCTTGTCAGTCGCGTAGTTGGTTTGTCTTGTACACCCTAGGGGCGTATAAAAACCATGCATCTACGTGACTGGCAAGCAACGCGAACGACTTCGTAAACGCTAAAAGCCATATATACAAGAGAGAAACTTCTGCTCACGGGGTAGGTAGACTAATGATGTTATAATCACATCTCAGAATGATAAAACGAAATGGCAAACTTTTTCATGTAATATATCAAACATGAGACGCAGTGTTTCATCACCAGATGAAACACCGAGAAGAGAGTTGAAAATACGACGCGCAGCGGAGTATTTTTGACGAACTTCCAGCTGTTTCATCTGGTGATGAAACACTGTGTCGAATGTTTGATTTATCTTCTCAAACAAAATCATTTTTGAAGGAGAAATTAAGGATGCAAATACTGAGCAGTTTTTCATCCGATTTCCAAACACTCATTAAACATTAATTTTCTTTGTATTTTCTCTATGAATTATTAATGAGTTTGAGAAGTTATTCTCCCACCCGTAATCGTCACGTCATTTACAAACGGTGTATCTTATGATCCCTGATAACGGGTTGGACTTTTATGTCAAAGATTGTATATTTTAGTATCATTGCAAGTAAATTTTAAAATTGATTTTGCCTTTATTTAGTGGGAACGATGTTATTAATGACTCCAGAAGTAGTAAGTTCCCATTAATGAAATTTGAATTCTTATCGAGTATTGTGTTCCTACATTTCTATGTTTATTCGTATTGCCATCGTCCACTTCCGTGAACATAACCTGGGCATTTGGCCTGTACCGTGTAAGGCAAGATCCGGAAAGAAGCCTCACCGAATGAGAAATAACCAAAAAAAGAATGAGATAATGTAAGTTTACCCGATATTTCGGGTTGCTAAACAAACCACCTACAGAAGCTATAACAGGGAAATGAGAAAAACCGATCATCTTTTACCATCAATGACAACATGTGACCCAGTTCCTGCATCAAAGGCAAGCAACATCAACCTTGAACTCGTCATCTTGGGGGCTACCGAAGAAAATGTAAGGTTCGGACTCTTCTTTTGAGGATTATCTGCAAACGAGAAAGCAAACTGTCATATATGCGTGACTCAACAATCTGCACACCTTCACTCTTGATCTACATTAACCAGAAGTGAGGTGTTTTTCCTTTTGATATGCCTTGACGCTACCGAATTGGTAATGCTAAGTGTCTTTACCATTGTAGAGACGATTTGCCCTAAAATATGGGCAAAACCACTGTCAAAGAATAATTAAAGTCTACATCCGGTTGACGTGTGTCGCTAAAAAAACTACTTTGCCTTAACTCCCTAGCCAGCTTGCAGCTAGATGTGTGCCCGCATCAAAGTCCCATGCATATTTTCAATTTAATTAGCACTCTGAGGGAAATCAACAGCGATATTTTTGGGCTTCCCGCCACTCCTTGGACCCGCCCTCTTCACACCTCCACGCAAAGGACTGATAACTTTCGCTTACATGACAGTAGAGGCAACGTTCTAAACAATACGGAAGTTTCATGCGAATTGAAGTTTATAGCTACAATGACTCACAACGAAAAAAGAATTAACTGGATACAGGAAGGTCTTATAGGGCTCGGAGGTAAGAGTAATAAGTTCAATAATACAACTAAACTAGTCGGTCGAGCTGTTACTCCCAGCTACTCTTCACGTGCTGGAAATGCTTCGTAAAACAGTAATATCACCACACGCCTGACTATTCTAACAGATCTTGTCCATCTGGTTCACATGAATTTCTAGCATTTCTGCCCGCTAAATTTCTTTAAATTACCTTATAATTTTAGAGGAAGTTTAATGAAAGGATTTTTTATCTTATTGGATGGTAAACAGTAAGGATCAGAACTGCAGTAAAGCGTCAGATCAGTTAGTTCTGTTTGAGCGCCAAATTACCAAATTACGTATAGATCGTCAGTTTGCGGCTTGCGTGTATTAAAAAGCTTATATTGAATTTAAAAATTGTAATTATTTTTGAACCCTTGGAAATTTAGTTCTTTAGTTCCCTCTTGGCTTGGTCGCTATTTTCATTCTTAAGAAGCCTGTCCGTCACTGAGGGTGTCCTCTTTGTGTCCGCTTAATTAATAGAGGTTTGACTCTATTACATTATATAAACTGCATAAACAATATTAGTTTGAACTTCAAGATGATGATGATGATGAAGATTGGTAATGACAGGAAAAGGCCAACTAACTGCAGTTCTTAAACTGAAACGTTTTAATGATCTTCTCAGTTGGCGTTCTCTACGGTACCACAAGTGTTGCGGTTGGGCATCCATTTGACACCATCAAAACCAAGATGCAAGCACAGCGTGGATTTGAAAGTGAAGGAATGATCAGATCATTTGTGAAGACAGTGAAAACACAAGGCATTAGAGGTCTCTATAGGTTAGCTGTCATGATTGGAAATTTCTTTGTAAATCTAGAATTTATATACCTTTATAAGTTTTTAACTTTTCATAAATTAATTTGCACATACTAATCAACTCTTAACTTCTTTACTGGACCATAATGTTATTATAAAAAAATTTTTACTAGTTCTTTCACAGTGTATAACTTGAAATAAATTTTAAAGACTGAGGAGAAGGCAGTTGACTATTGTGAGATAAGGAGGGGGGGCTGGTCTCCAAAAAAATTTTTCAGCCCTTCGGGCCCCAATTTGGTCTAAAAATAAGGGGGAGGCCTGGGCCCACTGGGCCCCTCCCTTTGGATCCACCACTGCTTTGTTTTACAACAGTTTTAAATTTATTTTTTCAGAGGATGCATTCCACCACTTTGGGGATCTGGAATCTACAGGTCAACACAGTTTGCTGTATTTGAAGCCCTGTGAGTATCCTAACTGTCATTAACTGGTCCAGTGTTCTAGAACACTGTGATGAGTGTTTCATTAGAAGGAGGCAAATCCCCTCTCCCTTGTGGAGGCTCATGGTCAGTAGCCTGCAGGGAAAGATGTAGGGGGGATTTTGAATTATTGGAATCATCTCAGATATAAATTTTGCATCTGAGGCAAAGGAGAGGTATGTATGGTAGGAAGGGGAAATGTGTTTGAACAACCGGGGCCAGGGGTAAGAAGGGGGAAGTGTATCTGGGGTAAGAAGTGGGGGATTTTTATCTGGGTTAAGAAGGGGGATGTGTATCTGGAAAAAGAAGAGCGAAGAGTTTCTGGGATAAGAAGAGAGAAGTGTATCTGGGGTTAAGAAGTGGGAGTGAGTCCTGGATTAGAAGGGGAAAATGTAGCTTAGGTAAGAAAGGTTTATCTGACAGTGCCGTAGCAAGGTTAGATTTATTTGTGGGGTCAATCACGAGCACCGAAGGTGCAAGCTTCTAGGCAGGTCCGGGGGCATGCTCCTGTGGACGATTTTGAAATATAGGGTCTCTGAAAAAGCATTTTCAGCCTTCTGAGAGCATAAATTTCCAGCAATTTTTAACTGACTAAAATCATTGATCGGATATGTAACTTCAACGTTGTTAATACCTGCTTGATTTTTCTTTGTTGAAGCCATGAATAAATAATTTTCATGCTTTATCAAACTGAAATGAACACATTGCACTGAAGAGCAGAGCGAAGAGTGTGGCCGCTGACCAAATTAAACATGCCTGTCAAAATTATTGGGGGGTGCCCTGCCGGCCCTCCCCATGCTATGGCACTGATCTGGGTATTAGAAAGGGGAGTGGAGCTTGGGTGAGAGAGGGAAAGTGCAGGCAAAAGTATTCTGCACACCTATGATTCTAGATGCATCTTAGTTGCACCTGAGAAGGATTGTTTTAGAATCAAGTAATTGGAATTTTTTATTGTTGTGATCCCCACCTGATGAAGCATCAATGACATAAGCATACAACAGATAAGATTCCATTTGTCGATCTGTGAATTTTTGGCTGTGCATTTAGTTGGTGTGAAGTGGTGGCCTTTGATTATAACTTTGATGATTTGCACTCCCTCCTCAATTTTCTAGTATCTGTTTTTAGGTACACATATTTCAATGGATTTGGAAGAAGAGAAATTCCTGGGACTGGTGGATTACAGATGTAAGTTATTAATTTTTACGTTATTTTTGCATGACAAGAAAAACGAAGGCCGGTCAGAGATTTCCTAAAAGGAGACAACACTATGGAAAGACTTCTTTTGTGAACTGTCATGTTTTCTTGGACATAAGTTCATTCACAATCATTTTATTAACAGGAAAGTGGCATTCAATAGACCCTGAGCACAGAGGCATAGAAAGATTTAAAATTTTTTAGATTTACAAATAACAAAAAATGAGATTGTTTATCGTCTAGAAATGTACCCTTTGTTAGTACTGGGAAAACTCCTCAAGTTTTACATTAAGCTTTAACCTGCCTCTGTTGACATGTACTTTTCTATTGTTGTTCGGATCAAGGACGGGCCAATCAGTTTCAATAGTTTTTGTTACTGTACCTACGTCATGATTAATTTAGTTTGTTATATATTGTTGCAGGCGAGTGTTAATAGCTGGGGTGGCAGCTTCAACATCAAGAGCCATTATCGAGACACCCCTAGAGCTTGCCAAGGTACAATAATATGTGAGAGGTAGAGATTGTGTGCATTGTACTTTTCCCGAGAATCTCTATGAAGAAAGGCCCAGCCTGCGAAACCTGCAGCCATCTCTGTTGTTCCTCGCCGCCAAGACGTGTTTTCAATCTGAGTTTTACGATCAGATGGGAACTTGAAGATAAAAACTTCCTCAAAATAGACAACAGTTTAAAGTATCGGATTATGGCGATTAAAACAAATAATAACTTCATACCTTTCTCCAACTGAAGCGTGACTTTCAGAAAGCCTCGAGGGACAGACTAGATCAGTCAGGGGCACCCAACGAGGATATAGTTCAAAACCACTTAACAAAGCATTGTTGAGCGTATTTTAGTATTCAAACGGTAGATATAGGCATATTTTTATCCCCTAAAAACTTTTCATCTGTTCGGATTTCCTAGCTGAAAGTCTAGTGATCCGAAAATTATAGGGATAAAAACTTATCTTCTAGAAACTTTCAGCCAGGAAAAGGCTCCCGAAAATTCTAGGTGGCCTTTTTTAGGGTCAAAATCCGTTAAAAATGGGTAATTATACCATCTTGTAGATGTTCGAAAATCCCAGGAGAGGCAGGCAAGCAAGAAATTTTACAACAAATGCTCCGAAAATTCTAGATCTCAAATCGTCTTCCGAATAGATATTTTCCCGAAAATTGCCGTTGGGTGCCCCTGATCAGAAACCAGGCTTCGGTTGGTCAACAGTCAAATGTCCCGACCCTGGGGTCGTTTCGCACGATGAAAAGCCCGACAGGGGGGATAGTCTCAGCCATCAAATCCCCCTCTTGCCTACACTCCCCCCCGGCGGAATTTCCATTGATAGGTGCATAAGCTGGCAGTGAGAGAGGTTCAACTGTATTATAGTCATTTACATTTACCTTTGTGAATTTAGTTTATATAAAGTTCTGCGTACATTTAAGTGCTCCAAGTTTTTTCTTGTTTCCCTTTCAATTTACGCCTCAGGTACGGAGACAAACAGGCCAGTCATGGCACTTCAGAGGGTTATACAAGGTGAGAAAATAAAACTGAACTTTTGTGGTAACAATCCATACCAAAACTATGACATCCTTTTTCATTTGTAACCGTGAAGTGCGTTAAACAAAGAAATCATTTGAAGCCACGGTAAAGAACATCTTTCAGTAAAATAATCAGTAGGGGATAATAACACAGGGTTTAAAGACAGACAAAATCAGTGGTAGGCCGGGTTGTCGTGATTAACAGTGAAGTGCCGGCAACCGGCTTAAAAACCGGCTACTTTGAGGTTTGAGCCGTGAACTTTTTTGGAAAAAGAGGTGAAGTGATGGAATGAAAGCCTGAAATTGTCTGCAGCACTCGATTACCAAGCTGCATACTCTTATCCTAGCTGTCTACTTTAAAACTTAATGAGAACCGTGAGTGGACAGTGAATTTTGAAGAAAACTGACTTCTAGGTTTTCTGCTCTTGTCTATAGGGTGCAGTCGTACGCTTCAAAATTGTTCCGCGATTTGCGACCTGAGTGGTCTTAGCAAATTTCCGTATCTGATGAAACATATCAATCGCAAACATAATGATTAATGCAAGAATCTTTGCGAAATCATGGCTCATTACAATGTACCTAGAGGGGTACGCATCAATTTCTATGGAGGCCATAAACCCCTTTCAACCATGCCCCGGCCCAGGAAGAGCCTTCATTCCCGACTCTCTCCTCGCCCGGTACCAGGGCAGCAGGCTGGCGGAAATGTATGTTGGCATAATTTTTTTTCCGTTGCAGGGCTTTGGTGTGACGTGGTGTCGTACAATGGGTCTCATGTGTACGTATTTTGTTCTTCTGGATTCTGGAAGAAGACATTTACCAGACCTGTTCAGAAGACCGATCTTGGGTCCCTTTCTTGCCTCGGGTATAGCAGCCACGTATCCTTTTCAATCGGTTTAATTTACATCACAGACTTGCTCCTGTCGTGTTATGTCTTAATCATTTCCTTCTTCCTCCCGTTTTTTCCCCTCCTTTTCTATCACTTCTCGCTGTCCGCTGTACTTAGTCCAAATGGAAGGATCATGCGCTGAGCAGTATCAAAGACCATCTTTCTACAGTCGATAGCAAAAATGACTCTTGTTTAAAGTAGTAAAGCAGAGTATTCGCTGAAGTAAGCCAAGACATTAACTTCAAAATCAAACGGGGAAAAATAAGGTGAAAAATATCCTGGTTTATGTAAGTGCAAGAACTATGCCAGCTGCATTATAACAACGAAAAACCCATATGTACATGCAAACTGACAAGCAAACAAAGGAAGCTTACATTGCAAGTATTCTCGTGCGAAATAAGCGCGAATAAGTTTTGGGCGCGAACAAAAACCTTCTTAACTTGCACAAAGGTCTACGTATGGCTCGTAAAGAGGCCTTTTTGAGCATGCTAAAATATATGCGACCACTCCGACCATTTAACATAAATATACAGAAATGACTCTTCTGTATGCTGCCCTCCTGCTTCCAACAACAAAAGATACTGTTCTCGAAAATTTCTCAGGGTGTCCAAGAAGAATTTTAGTTCGATATGTACAGAAAAAACCCTCGAAAAGGAGAAGATAGAGGGACAGACAAAAGTCTCGTCGAGCATATTCTACATGTTCTTACTGTACATTGTGATGCTTTCTCGTTCATCGAACGCGATAGCTTTCTAGTGTAATTTGTCCTTGACATTTTGTCGTCTTGCTTGGTGGGTTGTCTGGCCGTTAGAGAACATGAAGTCACAGGTACAAGGGAATTACGGCAAGTATGTAACCTCTTCATTCTTTTTTCAACACCTCTTTTAAGAAACATATCGTCCTCTGGAGGACGCCTTTCCTGGGCAACTGAGAAGAAGAAATGGCCAGTGATAAGGCCAATATCGCGCGCGATTTTACCTTGAAAGTTAATCGTAACTTGTTAGATCTGCCATCAACATTGTCATAACCATCATCACCATCATCGTCGTTGCCATCATCATCATCATCGTCGTCGTCGACGTTGTCATGGTTATCACTAATGAACTCTTCCAAATAGACTCTTTCCACGCCATAATGAAGGCCTCGGCCCAAAATATCAGTCCTTATTCGAGTCTCTTTAGGCCCTCTTTCTCCCTGCTCGGTTACCAAAGACTGAGCACATTCAAATTCAACAAAATTCTATCCTGTTGGAATACGTAACTGGGTCGCACCAAGAATCGTTGAGCTGTTACTCAAAGACCCTGTAATGTAAACCCAAACCAGCCCGTAACCGTTAAAATTTTAACCCTGAGTTAGCGTTTATCGAGATTCGAACAACTGGTCTCCCACCGTCTCTTTGTAACTTGCATGCAGTATTGCTGTAATTTCTGTATTGCTCTTTTTAATAGCTTCCTCGTTACTCCGACCTCTGGCTGGCGCACGATGTTAAAGAACTTGTAAAGAAAGGATAGTTTTATTCTCTACTGTCAGTCAGTCAGGTAAACGTGCGATCAAAATCAGCTTTGTTAACAGTCAGTCTTGATTTAAACTCAAGGGACCTTCCTGTGGTGGCTCGTATGAGGCTAGTTATTAAAGAGAGGGGTGGCTTTTTTGGTCTGTACCGCGGGATTGTTCCAGGATCAATCAGGAGCTTTATGTCAAATGGAACATCTATGATTGCCATGAGCTGGGCCCAAAGAAAAGTGTCCCAGTGGGGCCTCAGAGGATGACAGTGTCTGGAGTGAAGCAGGAATATAATTTATATACTTAAGAAGACTGCAAACATTCTAGTCTTCACGGATGGTCGCTGGGAGGGACTATTTTTAAAATCTAGTGACCTCGTGTTTCGACGGTGGCGCATTAACAGTTAAGATCCAGAAGAAAAAGTTAGCCACCGTTTTCTGTAGAAGTCCGAACTGATAAAAAAGTATCTTCCAGCAACTAACTCTGTCTGACTAAGAAGTAACAAAAGAAGCAATCAGAGAGTCGGATTTTGGTCACTTGATTGAATTGGACCTTTCCGAGAGTCACGTCTGGTTTCATCACTTCAAAGCGGTGTCACGTGACTTTGACTTTGATTGTAACTTCAAATGAGGAATAAGGCAAACAAGGCACTGCTAGCGGCTGATATTATAGCCTTTGGCAAGCAATGCAAGGGAAACAGTCTTATCCTTCCTCTACTAGCGCACAAGTAAGCACTCATCGCCCATCCTCAGACTTTCAGTCCTTATAAATACTATTTTTTTGAATACTTATTTGAACTTGAGAGAAGATTTTGAATGTATTTTGTATCTATTTATGGATTTATTTACTTTTATTTTTTTTTAGAAATCTTGTATACAATCAGTCCACACAAAAAGGTTTCTTGAAAAAATATAACCCATTAAGTACATGATGAGATAAGCTAATGGTCACTGGTTAAAATAATGGATTTTCAGTATTACTCCTGAACAACAACTTCAATGCAATAGGTTTTGGCAATAAATTAAATTAAACTCCGCAACGCCACTGGCGACCGAAGGTAATTATTCGGGCCTGATATTTTTACAGAAAGGGTTTTTAATGAGTATTTTTGCGAGCCGTGTATCTTTACTTCTAAGTCAAAGTTTATTGCACTAAAAAATAAATGCTTGAGTTGGCTTATTTCAAATTATTTTCAACTTTGGGGCTTGGCGTTTAATTGAGAAAGTGTGATAAATATGAAAGAAAAAAAATAAGAGAGAACAATTTTAAATCCGACTGCTAACAAATTCAGTCATATAATAGGGAATATTGCTCACTTAGCACCCCTATCTTTTTTACAGAGCGGAAGCTAAAGGTTGCGGGTTTGATTCCAGGGACCGGACCAACTAGACTTTCGTGTGGTTCGAATGGCCACTCAAAAACGGGTGTGTGTGTGTGTGTCGGGGGGGGTCGTCTCTATCAGGAGACGTAAAAAAAGTGTTCTCAATTAGTAATTCCGTGCCAATTACCTTGACACTTAGATAAAGTACGTTTTTTGAGCAACTCCGGATCTTCGCTGGTATTTCTGTAAATTCTTGTAGTTCAGCCATTTTTTTGTCTTGGCATAACGGGAAATCTTCTGCCTACGAGTACGGGTGGGCGAACATTTTGCAACGTAGTTTGATCTCATGCCATTAAGACTACAGCCAATCAGAAGCAGATACGGACAGAAAAAAAAAAAGCATTTGAAAAAAATCTGTTGACAAAGTTTTGTCAAGAAGAGATCTGGGTACGAGATTAAATCCTGGATGTCCTGAGGGACGATATTGGCGTTATACCTTATGACACTTACATGAACACTCATGAAAAGTTTTAGAAGAAGAACTTGGTTACCCAGACCGGTTACACACAATGGCAGACGGCAACCCAGTTATAGTTGCAGTGGATGGAAGTGAACACAGCAAGAAAGCCTTTGAGTGTAAGTTATACATGATTACTAGACTGTCCTTTATTATAAAGACTTTTGTATTTCAAAATGCTCTGCGAAAATCCGGGAGTTTAATAATTAATGTTGCGTATATATGTTGATCACGAAAACGTGCTTCGTGACATGAAGTTTACTTTTTATTAAATTTGCTTCTTTTATTCCGCAAAATGTTCATGGCTCCGATTAGCTTGAAATATTTGGGTGAAAAGGGAGAGTTCCTAGATAAAAATATCTTTCTTTCTCGTCAATTTACTCGCCAGACAGATCAGACTTTACCAGTTTAAAAGTTTCATACAAGTAACTCACTTTTTGTCCCTAAAGCTGCCAAAAAAGGGAAGCTAAGGCGCTAATTTGAGGGCTTAGATTCGATTCGTTCCATCATAAGAGGTTGTGAATTTTATAAGCACTGACATATTGCACTTCATTAAGTTCACTACCCAGACCCCAGGCCGGGGCCATGTTGGAAAACAAGAATACTCTGGGGACAAGGTTGCGGGAGGTTAAGGAGGATCGTACCCATTTTTCTAGGTCTCACCCCTTTGTGTTTGATGCCTCACGACTTTGACTGTAGAGCATGTACGGAAAAGCCACAAAGTGAAACATGTCTAACATTGAACTTACTTTTGTTGACATTGCTTCTTTCTTAGCAACAGAATAACGATGACATGAAATCTACAAATTGGCAATTTTCTCATAATCTAGCAAGTATGTTGTTTCACCCTGTGGCTTTTCTGTAGTTGCTTTGCAGCCAAAGTCATAGAGCATCAAACACGCAGGGGTGAGACCTTGAAAAATTGATGCAAGCCTCCTTCATTAATTTATGTGGAGCTTCACCCCTCCATTGCTTGGGTAGATTTAGAGGTAGTTAGGGGAGGTAGGAAAGGAGCTGCAGCTCCCCCTTTTGGTGTTTGAATATGTATCTCATTGATATTGACCAGCGGGACAGTTTGGGACCAAGCAGAGATCATGCAAAGCCTGTGATACACAAAGTAATGCATAGCAGAGAGCAGAGGTCATGAAACTAAACATAGCCAATAAATAAAATATTTTAGTGGAAATATGGCATGAATCACAGAACCTCACAAAGCAAACAAAACAAAACAAAAAAAGGAAAAAACAAAACAAAACAACAATGACAAAAAATAATCCTCTGAGAGGACATGAACTTACTGGCATTCAATAGCCTGTACTCCACTAAACAAGCGCAGAAATTCCATACTGATGACTTGTCACTACCCAGATCTGGGTAGTGACGAGTCATAAGTATGGAATTTTGGTGCTCGTTTCTCAGAGATGTTATTTTGTGGGAAAACCATCAGTGGTGGCTTCGCGAAATGTCGTCTGTTTTCTCCTAATACAGTAAGCTGTTGTAAAGTACATTTCAATCAAACCAATAATTTTCATTGGGTATTGACATTATGCCTTTCTTGTTCCATCTTGCATAAAAGTTTTCATAGTATTATTATTTGGAAATAAATCAATGAACTTATAGCTTATAATTTCTACTTTCAGGGTACTGTGGAAATTATCACAAGCCAGATGACCAGATTGTTTTTGTACATGCCATCGATTCTGACAAAAGACCAATCATTATGCATCCCCGTATGTATATAATATTTAAGAATATTATTGAACTGTAGGACCGTGTTTCTTTTAATTTTTACAGCATTATTTGAATTTTTCTTAGATGGGATGTCATATCGTGAAAGTTACACAAGCTGGTTTGAGAGGTGCAAAAGTGATGAAGAGCACATGATGAGCTCATTTGCTGACATTTGCAGAAATAAAAAGGTATCATTAAACCCTAAAGTGGTTACACTGTGAAAATTTGGGTGGGTGAAGCAAGGAGCGAGGAGAGACAGCTGTATTTGCAGGCTATGGATCAGGGCCGAGTTGTTCAAAGCTGGGTTAAGATAACCCAGGGTTAGTGCAAGATTTGATTTGATTTAAAATTTAAAAAGCATTTCAGTTTTAATTTTTTTTGTCTACAAGTTGATGATTGGAAGCTCTTAAAATAACAGAGAAAATTATCTGAGAAAAGGAAACTAGGGTTAAATTTAACCCCGGGTTAAGCGCTAATCAGCCTTTGAACAACTGGGCCCAGCCTACAAAAATAGTGAAAAATCATTCCCAATTTCAGGCCCAGCTATTATAAATTTGTTTTAGAGAGGACAAATGCTTATACCCAACACCTGACCAGAATCAGTGGTTATCAAACATTATATCTAGATACAAATTCGGATTTCAGACCCGAAGGAGTGAAAAACAACACACTTTGGCACATATCATTAATAATAATACCCACGCATATGTAGTTAATACAAGAGTTTTGAAGCCAGGGGCTGAATTTTTCGGTGTCTTGTTATTATATATTCTGGGTTAACTATTGAAAGAGTATGAGTCATCATCCTCAGCTGTGCTATTCATCCTTCAAACAATTTGATGCAGAGGGTTTTGGGTTAATTGTTTCACTGAAGTCTGGAGATTATGCACGATTTTCTCTGCAGGTACAGTTATAAGGTCCCCTTGGTGGACCTTATAACTGTACCTGCCAAGAAAGCTGAGCATTTAATTCACATGGATTAAAAGTGTAGAGAAATAGTGAAGACAGAATTGCTTTAATTTATATTTCTTTAGTTTGAAGATGTAGTCAAGAAAGTAGAATTAAGTATTATGATGATAACCAAAACAAATGAAAACAACTCATGGCAATATAATTTATTTTAATAATAATTATTAATAATTTAATATTACTAAACTTGAGTAAAAACTTCACTGCATATAATACAGTTTGAACATCTCTACAACCACAATTCAGTCTGTAATTCACTCTTCTATTCAGGGATTTTGATATTTCGCACGGTCGTGGAGCCGAAAAAAATTCAGGTAAATTCACGAAAAATGCAAAATACTGCGAAATTCGATAGAAATCTTATGAAGTACATGTCTCTACAACATATTTGAAACTTGTCTCAGCTATTGGGGCTGTCTACTTGCTGTAAAACTTGCAAATTTATCTTGAAACTTTTTCACTGAAACGTGGAAACAACGTCCCAAAACTACAATATTGGTGTAGATTGTGTTGCGAAAAACTGGGCACTAGCGATGATGTTAAAGGCTTTGCCATTAGTTCATATCTGAAGTATATTGTTAATGAAAGAGCAAGTGATGACCTCTGTTAGTAAAACGTTAAAAATGCTGGTCTGATCAGCGCAAAACTGATCAATTTCTAGCGAAAGTTGCCCCAAAAATAACCACAAAATCAGCTGTATTTTACTGATTGCTTTTCACCGAAGTTTGCCCCGAAAATTCCCGCAAAATCAGTAGATTTTTCCACGAATTTGTCCCTAAAAGTCCCCCGAAATTTGACTTTTGTTCCTGCGACCTGTCAGAAGCCCTGTCTATTTGCCCACAGAATAAAGAAAATGACTTGTCTTACATTTTTGTTATATGCTGTCTTTGTGTCACTCATGTAGTGCAACTGTAAAAAGGTAAATTGATTGCACTTAAAAAGAATGATGTTTAGTATCAACCTCAGATAATGCAAAAAATGATTTATGTAGTCCATGCTGTTTTTTACATGTGCTCTTAACTCAAAGCAGGAGAATGTTATTTTTGTATTTATCATTACCATAATTATTATATTATTATTATTATTATTATTACTTATTATTACGTTGCATTTGTCTAGTTCTTTTGGAACAATACTGTCAGTGTTTTTTCTTTATAGTGTTTACCAAAAGAGGATCAGGTTACAGATGAACAAGGTCCTCTTAGGAGGGAGGGGGGAGGGAGATATGTTAGTCCCTAGTCTGAATTTCAAAACTGGTTGTTTTGCATTTTGAGGTGGCGGTCATTATCGTGTTTGCTGCGGCAGTTTCAACCAATCTTCATGTCGTTTGTTGCCATTTCTTCTGTCTTTCAAGGCCATGTCACTTGCTGGAATTTTACCCTATAAGGCCCTCGCTCTCAACACAAAAGCATGACCTGACTGTGCCACTATTGACAAAAGCTGAAAATAAAAACATTGTACTATTGTTACCATTCATGTCTTTATTCAATTCTTGTAAGCCATTGACTTTAATTCAAAATGGAAAATTATTTGATACCCATGTTTGTTGTCACATGCAGTAAATAAAAAGGCACAGTTCACAGCTGTGCTCCAACAGTGCCCAGTGGCCCGGCTGGCACCTTTTAATTACTTTTACTCTTGGGAGTCTAAGAAATCTTAGTTTATTCATAGAAGTTGTATGCTGGGGACCCTGGATTTCACAGGTTTAGAGCACTGGACTCCATTCAGGTTATCTAAGAGCACAGTAGCCTTGCCACTGAACATGCAAAATTAAGGAAGGAACACTCCCTAGCAAATTGTAAAACAGCCCAAATAAATGAATCCAAACTGGTTTTGTTCTGTTTAACTGTTACTAGATGAACTTCAAGCTGGTTACAGATGTTGGTAGACCTGGAGAAGTGATTTGTCAGACAGCAAAAAGAGAAAAAGCCAATCACATTGTGATGGGTAGTCGAGGATTAGGGACTGTACGACGCACACTTCTTGGTAGCGTTAGTGACTACACACTACACCATGCTACTGTCCCAGTTTCAGTTGTGCCACCATTGTGCCAAGATTAGGCAGAAGTTCAATTAGATACTTACACTGTATCTTTATTCAGTGAATTTACTTTTATTAGTTATCCTGTGAAACAATGGAAAATATTGTTACCGATTTGTTAGTGACTTTATATTGTACACTGCTACAGGACAGCCTTATGCAGTATTTTGTGTATTGGTTCTGAAGAAAAAATGAAAGATACTCTGTGTGTATACTGGTAGTATAAATCTGTTTTCTGCAATTCTTTGGAGAAGAAATTTTCATAGCTCATTTTACCTACCAGAGACATTGAGGATTCTTTCTTTCTTAGCTGTTCCATGAGTTGTGGTAATAGAAAAATAAAATACCGTAAATTCCGAAAATAAGCCCTGGGGCTTATATTTTTCAAAGGCCCTTTTGGAGGGGCTTATGTACAGAGGGAAATTTGCATTTCAAAATTGATTGGGCTAGCTTGTGGTGGGAAGGAAATTTACCATTTTTATTTTGTTTTACTTTGTATTCGAGGGCAAATTCCAAGTACAACCCCTCCGGGGGGCTTATATTCAGAGGGGTGATTCATCGGAGGGATTTTTGCGTTTCGATTTTGGGGGCTTATATTTGGAGGGGCTTATACATGGAGGGGCATATTTTCAGAATTTTACAGTAGAGAGAAAATTTAAAGTTTTTGAGGTAAATAAATATTGTGATATTTTGCTCATTTTCAGTGCATTTTTCTGTGGAAACGTTTAGTTGGAAAACACATTTTTCAGTTTCTTATATGATAGGACAGGAGAATATTGCAATTCAGTATCACATAATTATTGAGGATATTGCTCCATAAGTATTATCGTTAAAGGGCCATTCTATTGAGAATAAATCAAGTAATGAGTAAAACATATCCAGAGTCCTAAAGCCTCTTAGTTAGTAGGTAGTCTAACTGTTACCTCTGGTTGTTTGTTATATTTAATATACAAGTATATTTACAGCGGTATACATTTACATTTTTTTGATGGCTGGGTTCAATAGAATAGAATAGATGCCTTTAATAAATTCAAAAGATAAAAATACATATCTCAAGTTACAAGTTAAACAAATAAAAAAAAGTTAAGAGCTCTTAGAACAATTATACATCTAAATTACATCAAGGAATTAATATCATAGCTAAAGATAGGTCTATTCACATAGGACGATTTGAAGCACCCTGTTACCACTACAGGATGATAAAAGCATGGTTTTCTTAGCACATAATTCCTTTCTGGTAAAATCTTCAAAAGGGGCAAATTATACAGCAACCTGATCTTTCAAGCAGCTCCCCTATCATTTTACTTTGTCTCACGGATAATATACTCTGACCCCTTTACCCATTGTTTGCAGGCTCTCTATGTATGTGTCTGTAACCAACAGGGCTTATAAGCAGGGGAGGGGGACATATATGTTACAGGCGAAAATAAATTTAACCTAGGTTGATTCTGAATTTCCATTGTCTCCTTGCCCTTATTATTCATAAGTTAGGGCTAGGAGATATAGGTAATTGAGAATCTACATTAGTTATAAAACGTCAACCTGAAATTATATAACATAGATTCACCAGCAAACACTTACTGAATCGTGCTTAGTATGGAGTGAGAACAAAATGACCCATTCTCCTTCACAGACATTATTTTGGCTCTCCACACACTGTAGATTGCATATTGAGCGAAAAGTGTGGGAGGTACAAAAAATTACCCTCATTTTAACAATAGAGTTTGTCAGATGTCTGACAGGGTCCACAGATGTACAGGTCGGTTCATTAAAATATATTAATTGTCATTAGTTCAAGTTGAAAATGTTGTCATTCTGAAGGAGTGCACAGACACTAAGCCTATTAAACTGGTGACGAATTTTGTTTTCTGACTTCATTGTAGTTGCTATTTATTATAGGGTTACAATAGTGCGTGCACTGACTGATTGGCTGCTAAGTAGGTATTATTTTCTGGGAATGATGGCCACAGGAAATTTCAAGCTAAACTAGGGGTCCAAGGCATTACAAAACCCGTGTTGAACTTGATTACTGACATGGACATTCATGTTATGTTCAATATTGACAGTTGTAAAAAAGGGCATCCGCTGACCAGTGTCATCTGACTATTGCAGGCTCAAAAGTACAACTCATTGAGCATTCAGTTAAGATTTCAGAATATTAAGCGGAATACAAAACAGCGACGATAAAAACTAAAACTGAAATCACAATTAGCACAATAAACTTGAATTCCCGCAGCTGACCTTCAATTATCTGCTGACCATGAGAACAATCAACATTTTCCCGAGGGAAGCTTAGCTTTGGCACTTCAACTCCCAGAAAATCACATAGAGGTTTCCAACCTTCCAGTACATTGAAAACCAACAACTTCTCTTGTGGGATAACAGATTTGACACGTGCATTATGTTCATGGTATTTCTTCTTGAAAAGGACAGTACTTTTTGCATTCAGACTGCCGTAAGCTGCGTTAATGCACCTATCACTGGTTTGCCCCAGGATGGGGGGGCCGGGCAACCCACGGGAATTAGACTTCGTAAAGCGCACGTGGGTGGGGATTTTGACATCCACAACGGTCCCCAGGGTGGGAAATTTGACTCGACCGCCATCTTGAAAAGTGGAGAGGACCTGGGAATGAGTGAGTGGTCCGCCATCTTGGAAAATACCCAGAAGACATTTGAGCGAGTTTCCCGCGTCCAAGCGTGTTGCTTTTTTTAAGCAAAAATGTTGCTTTTTATGCCCATCAGTGCTCTGTCTTTAAAGTTCTAATAACATAAGGTATTTTTCCTTCAGCTTTGAGAAGAAATATTCGCACAAGAGCTCATTTAGATCAAAATTTACTTCCTACTTACCTGTCTTCAGAGGATGCCGCCCTGCCTTAAGTTTTCGATATACCCTCTGTGTTTATAGATTTGCTAGTATACTCCAAATGTTAAATTAAATGAATTTCTGTTCAATTCTGGACCTCAGTTACAAACATCAGTTAGATGAAAGCGGAATACGACCTATTCCAGGCGTGACATAGAAGATGAATCCAGAAACCTGTGCCAAATCTCACCAAACAATGACAAGTAGTGCTTTATTAAATAATCTTATTTTCTGATACTTTCTATGTCAAGTTTTTAATAATTCTACCCCCAAAAATTTTTGTCTACAAGAAATACAATTTGGATTGTTTTGAGAGGATCTTGTTTAATCGTTGTTTGTTCAAATCAGTGTTGTGTCTGGAGGAGTGCTGCAATAAACTTGTTGTGAGTGTTTATCATTTCGTTTAGCTTACTATGAAGGTCTGTGGTCCCCAGGGGTGGGAATTTGACTTACAATGGAGACCCAAGGGTGGGGAAATTGACATTTGAAAACCTGAAAATGTCAAATTTCCCGTGGGTTGCCCGGCCCCCCCATCCTGGGGCAAACCATTGATAGGTGCATAAGTGTTACGTCAGAAAACTGCCAGCCTCGACGATGAACTGGCCGAGAAAGCCACCTAGTTGCGATTCTTCTAACAATTCCCGGGTTTTGCAGTTGCTCAATTTGCCTTACCAAGCTTTTAAGCCAGTTCTCTTCGTCTCTAATGCTGAGAATAACTTTCGAATCCGGAAAAGCGTCGAATATTTCTTCGAACCAAAACCATGCTGGCAAGCCAACGACTGCGTCGACATTTTGGTACATCGACGCGAAGTTCGGTAGCTTTCCTTCGCAGTACAAATCAAGCCACTCTCGGCCATGAATGTCTCTGTGCTCACGGAAGTCGTAAACTGTATATCCAAGAGAGACTAATGCTTTTGTAATAGATTTAGTCCCTGTTTTACTAAATCCTGCACAGATAACTTTCATCGTTCAGAAATCGTGCACGCGTGCACAAGATCATTCAAAGCGGGGAAGGATGTCACGAATGTCACGCGACGGCGGATTGTTTGGTTCAGTACCGGGTGGGTAATGCAGTCCCGCACTGCTTCTCGTCTTACAAGAAGAAAACACACTATGATCGCTACAATCATTTAAACGAAAGATTCGTCTTGTCAATCTTTTGCTTAAGTTAAAGTCTGGTTGTGAGAACTGCGTATTATGTAGCAACTGACACACAAACTGACCTATAATATTATCTCGAGACTGGACTTTCAGTGCTCAGGCCAGATAATCAGGTGGTGGTATTTACAGAGTGCAGCAGGGTGGTCGTGTGGCGGGTTGCCACTTTATGGACTTTAGAAACCACACGAAACTCTGGTATTAGCGCAAATAAACTTCAGTTACAGCACTAACCCCCTCTCATTTCTCCCCGCTGCGGGCACGTTTTGCGTCAGTATTTTGGGCCAAAACGCCTCTCGAGAGAGGCCGGTCCTATAAAAGACGGGGAGCAATGAAAGGCCGGCTGTATTCGCGGCTATCATGACACCGGAACCTCTAGACTCGTTTAAACCTGCTGGTAACCGTCTTATGATAACTTCGAAGCACCTGTTACGCTAGTTTTATTACTGAAATAAATAATTTACTGATTATTTGAAGACTCATCCAGACCCTGAGATAAGGGGAGCACCCGGTCTCCAAAAAATTTTTTCGACGCTTTGGGGCCTCATTTTGGCCGAAAAATAAGGGGGGGCAGGCCCCCCGGGCCCCTCCCCTGGATCCGCCACTGTAAGGTACGCTCGTTGACTGACCTTGGCATCTTAGTTCATCTTAATTTAGGCTGTGTTTACACTGTACCAGATAACCTTTGTCCCGGAACGAAAACCATCCCGGATATAGAGGGCATCTGTGTATAGCCGTGTTCATACTGGATCCGATAGGTTGTTTTGAGACAAAACGCTATCCGATAGTGTGAACTAGCAAGGTTTGTAGTCAGCCCATAGACTTGTAGGCCCGGGCCCACAAAGTGTTGGTTTGATCACTCTACCGCTTGTAATAAATAGTTATGCGTTGTTGGGCTGAGCTGAAAAGCGTAAGAGGTCAAAGTGTTGGTGAGGTCATTGCGTGGAAATGAAATTCAGCTAGGCCTACAACTAGTGGAAAGGGCCAGTGGAAAGACTGGTTACGCCCCTTGTCGCCTTAGTTGTACGGACCTTTTTTCTCTTTACCGATATTTATAGAAGCAAAAGGTACTGAAGGAACAAAGTTTTCATAAGACAGAGCCCCAAAACTTGTATAAAACTAAATTGAATTAAGCTCTACCCCTTTACTGGAGCATGAGTTAATTACCTCCAGTCCGAGCTATTTGGTTCTTTCTTTATTCTAAAACTCCTTTTTATGGTAATGGGAAGGCATCCTGTATTGCAGATTCCAGCTAAACTGCAACATGTAAAAAAGTCTTCACGGTAACCGCTCGCGAAAGCTAGAAAATTAACTGACTCTCTCAAATTTAAAGGTGCGCTCGAAAAGATGCGGTGCTCGACGGTCATATAATACCACAGGTAGCCCAAGCTCGAAATATGAGCATCGGCAAGCATCAGCATTGTTGCATAACATTCAAAATGTAAGGATTTGTATGGGAAAAAAACCTATCGTTTTCGTAACCTACGAAAATGAAAGGATTTCAATAAAAAACAGCTTACCTTACTTAAAATGTGTTGTCGGACCCGAAATGGGGTTCCTGTGGTGCGTGTGTGACGTAAGCCGAACCGGTCGGGACCGGTTTTGGCACTAGAACACGAGGAGAAAAAGAGCGAGCGATCTTGTGAGTACGAGCGAGTTTATCAAACGAGAAACGAATAAATTTTGTTGAAATCATCGCAACAAAAGGTGGCGACCCTGCCAGGACACCTGTGATTCGAGAAAGTAACAGCGAGCGGCGAGAAGTGAGCGACGAGAGGAATTTTACATGTAAACACAGCGAAGAAACACCGAAGTCAACAACATGAGCGCCGAAGGCGAAATCAAAACAATGCAGGAGAAGATTCAAGGTAAACTGGAAATGCTTGAATTTACAGCGGGAGATACAGCGAAAGTAATCGAGACCGGAGACCTGAAGACAATTGAGAGGCATGGAAGCGCATTGGAGCACGTTATTGACAAAATACATCAGCTCAAATTGGAAGTTCAGGAGTTGCGTATTGAAAGTGGGAATGACCCTGTAGAGGTCAGACTTTGGACCGAAACTTTAGACA